CAAGGATTCTCTCTTTTTTACATTTCAAATGGTATCTTTTACGTCATTCGAGGAAAAATTAGCTTTTATTTTATTACTCTACAAACATTTCTGTTTAAAATATATATAAGTATGGTTTTGCTTTAAAAAAAACCATTAGGTGCCAAATCATACATATGCCTTGGTTGTTTAATGCATATCATTGATTGCAAACATAGATAAATTATCGTTTTACCAGTACATTCAGATAACGAAATGTTTTTTCTTGCCGGTTTCCTTTTTCAATTTTTACATTCTTTTCTCTATAATAACACATGCACAACCCGTCTTCAACTAAGAGTCAAATCAAAGGTTGCATACTACCTCAAACCGGGTCGAATTGTTGTCTTGGAAAACAATATTCTAGCAATGATGTGTTTAAGCTAATTTTTAGGAAGTTGTACCAAACTGCCTGCTAATATTATTAATTTTTTTCCAAATTACTTTCATGTTCTAAAATAGCTAAATTAAAGCAACAGTAGCTTACCGATATTGAAATCTCCTGAATCGATTCAAAAGATACGTAGATTTAAGATTATTTCATGGACATATAATGGAATGAGATAGCAATGCGATAACACATGAATAAGATAATAATAGAGATAAGAATTAAAGTAGATAACAATTAAATGAGAAAATAATTCAATTTATTCCAAGGACGTTTAGATTACGTTAGCTAAGGTCATTAAAGGTTAGAAATATATTGTAAAAGAAATCTTACAACCGGTGCGAATTGAAATAGGATGGCAATAGTCTATAGCTAAGCATCTATTTAATCTGAAGGGGAAATAATAAATGCACTTACTTTCTATAGATAATTCAAAAGAGTTTTTTGCTTTTTGTTTTTATCTCATAAGTCCAATTTGATAGGAGTGATTGCCATATTTGATATTTTCTTAACATGAAATTTTAAAATTTGGTTAATGTGATTGTGAAATTTTCTTATTTCAAAAACTCTGCTTACGCCAAAATGAATAAAAATTACACAACATGACAATATGAAAAAAGAAATTACATATCCTCCCGTCTCTTTAAACCGGTCAACAACTAAAATAAATCACATTTTGGTACATCACTTTCCCTGGATATTTTTTTCCCTGGACGTCATTTCATGTTTTTCCTGATTATCGAAATAGCACGCATATACCATTGAATTTACTTGGTGTTTAACATAAATGCATTTTTTTTCAATTAAATATCATAATTTGTCATGGAATTGTCAGTTTGTTTTCGACTTATGATTTTGAATATTCCTTTGGTATCTTTCGCCAATTTGGTAAGCTTCAACTTTCCAAGGAAATCATGGAGGTAATACAGGTTAATATCTGCAATTCCAATGTTGTTTTTTTTGTCACAACCTTTTTTACAAACTTTTGACGGCCAATTCATTTCACGATCAAAACACTCGAGCATGGTTATTAACATTCTCTTGTATGTAGTCAAGGAGGTTTTGTAATATGATAGTCCTGGAAAACATACATTATAATATTTACACTTTGAAAAAGTTTAATACCTTACATTTTTTTCATGTTTGGCTAAAAAATTCGCGAAATGAGCTTGCTTCTCAACTAAATGCATAATTTTTTGTCAAGCTAATCATGATTAACTGCATTTTATATCGCTATGAAGACTGAATTGTACAAAGCTATACGAAATAAAACATGCCAAACTTGAATAGATGAATCAAAAAGGAAGAAAGAAGACAGCATAAACATTACTCTTCATCAATATTTGTTTACATCTTTGCTGTTCATATGCTAGATGTATAATTATCAGCACATTAGTATATAGTACTTTGTATTGGCATGCAAATACGTATAGTGTTAGATTAAAGTTTGATGAAGATCTTACGATGCAGTAAAATGTTATTGCAGTTGTTAGAAATATAAATATGCTTTATATTTTTTATTTAAACAATAGTATATATACAATGTCGAACAAAAACCTGGTGGAAAAGAATCATTCTCTTTGGTAGCAAGTGCCATATATCATCATTTTTCTCTGCTGATTGGTTCTAGGTAACATATTTTGTGATTTTGTAAACAAAATAAAAAATGAATGAAAAATTTTGCTTATACAATTTTGTTAGTTTTGACAGTTTTCTCGTCTATGGTGTCTTAAATGAAACTCTGTTTTTTCCGAACTGCTATTGGTAACAAATGCCAATTACTAAAATGCTGATAAAATTAAAAAAGAAAGAATATCAATCTAATTAAGAGGAAATAACGTATTTTTTTATTTACAAGTAAATAAATGTCAAGTTTGGTGAAAACATGAGGTTTAACAAAATTTACAGATCGTTTTTCGCATATCAGAAAACAGATTGTTTGTGGAAAAAGATACATTAAATATTGCAACAAAAGCTTGTTCATTCAAATCTGGGTAACAAGTGGATTGGGATATATTTAAAAACATATTGGATGGTGAGGGAAAGTTATCAGAAGGTTTTATTTAAAAAAATATTCATTTGAAATAAGTTAAACTGAATTGAAGAGATTCTAAAAATGTTAAAATTTTCCATCTCTAAAAATGGCAGCAAGTTCTAATCAAAGAAAATCTCTATAAAGAGTAAAATCGATATATATATATATATAAGGATAAATTGAGATGGTGAAATAAACAAATTGAAGCAAAAGATATTTATGATAAAATGCTATATAATATTTCAGTAGATCAAAAGTATACAAAGTCAATTGGTATTTACATTTGGATAATATATTCAAGATAAGAATACGCACCATAAATGTCAATTGTAAAAGATTTTGTACTGACCATTTTAAAGGATTTGAGTGGAAATTTACAGATGGAAGCTGCTTTAGTATATTATAGTATTCTTGCAAAGCAGTTACTATTACTGTTATCTTATCGTATAGGCCATGTCATTTTACAATGCAATTGCTAAAATGTTATACCAACATTGCAGTTTGAATTCATCTCTACAAATTTATCAACTGTTAAAACAGTTTGGCTTATAGCCATTGAAAGGTTGTTAGTATGAATCAAGTGCAGTGTAATATAAAATGTGTAAAAAATTGTCATCACGTTCAGTTTCGAAATCCTATATCTGAAATAAAGATCATATTAGAAATTATATATCCTTACCAAAAACAAAATAACTGTATTTCAGTACAACCGAATATTCCAAATACATATCTTCTGGTTTGAGGAGCTCCGAAAAAGACATGAATGTAATATTGTTCCATGCAAAAAAATTCCAGGCAAAATAAATTTTGAAAATAGCTTAATTAATGAATTTAAAAAAGACAACAATTCCAAAGTAAAATAAAATTTTCAATTGTTATTAAAAACAAAGGTTTCCCCTACCTTACATGTAAAGTAGTTTATGAAGATTTCATGATATTTTTTGTTTATTTAAAATGAGGTACATAAAATATATTTACTCAAGCGTATTGTTATTAACCGGTACTTCACCTACCATTAGACATTTTCTAAAAGTCGTCTGCAGACACTTATACCGACTCCGATACCTACACTGACTAAAAATATAGAGAGAACGTATTATAATGTTGGAATTTAACGAATACATGACCTCGTAAAACTTGATTGGACTCCGCAGAGGTAAAAAAGTATAAATTCTTTTATTTCTTGTATTTACTTTTTTATTTTTTTATTCGGAGTCGAAGCTAGAAATACCGAGTGGGCTTGTTAATTTTGGATATTTTTTATGAGGAATTTGTGATATTCCATCTGTTTTTATTTTTTCAATTGTCTCCATCAACGATTCTGACTTTAGTTTTCCATATTTACAACCGTTTACGATGAGACCAATGTATGTATCCCAGTTTTAAGAGAAAAATTTGGACCACTTATTACATGACCAATGGTCAAAGAATGGAGGTCTTTTCTGAGAGAATGGTTAAATTTAACGTTCGCAGTGGACGCGATGAATTAAAATTCTACCGACATGTATCATCCAACAGAACGGCAACAGAAACTACTAGTATCTTTTTCTCGTCACCTGCATTATTAACCCATGCATCAGGTGATTTATGCTACTAGTATATGCAATCTGATTTCATTTGACACCAGAATAAAGTCCAACAGTTTATGCTAATGCGACAAATAGGTCAGAAATTGGCTTTTCATGATCACTGTTTTTTGTTAGCAGACAAAATTTATCCAAATATATATCCTATAATAACATACACGGCAGGAATTCGCTCGAAAACTTGCCAATCTAAATAGAAAAATGCAGGAAACTCATTAGGCTTTTAACGTAATACCGTGTTACGGTAGTACATGCAATTGGCGATCTGGAGTGCTTTAAGCATTTGCGAAAAGTGCTTTGGAGACACAAAAGGAACACATTAGCTGCCACTAGTGAGGTCTAGACGGGCTTAGTGTTTCTTCGACGTCAACTGTTCTCCCAAATAAAGTATCAAATCATCTATATATATATTAAAATGTATGTTTCACGCTATCAAAATGTTTTACACGTGACTGTCTCTGTGTAAAGCTCTATTAATAGCCCGTTTCTTTTTTTTTTTTTTTACAAAATACGATATGCAGATTGGTCAATTCCCAGCTACAAGACACAGCCAATAAAGTAACAAATCATTTCAAGTTATTAATCATAATAGGTTGTTTTACAGTATTTGAAATGTATATTAGAGAGAAAAATATAATAGATATTCCTTAGGTCGTTGTACAGCTTGAGATGACCCCTTCTCAAAAAGGTTACCTGTCGTCCTAGACATAGGTGTAAGCGTCATTATCAATTAAATTTCGAAAATGTCTACCAACTACTGCCTTAGGTTACATACTTCATAATCATGTTTTTACAGGTCAGTACATACTATGTGAAAGCGACGTTGGTACAAATCTTCAATGTTCTGCTGGCAGAATTATCAAGGTCAGCGACGCCAAATACGGTAGAACAGATTCCACGAAATGTCCACACAGCTCTATTGATGCTTCCAAAACTTACGATAGAACTGCATCAGTTACTACCGGGACACAGGAGATATGTGATTTAAAGCAAACATGCTTACCATCAAAAAGCGGAGTAGGTGACCCTTACCCAGGGGTATACAAATATATGAACGTGACTTACGAATGTCTTATCCTAGGTACGAATGATTTGTTTCAAATACTGTAAATTCAGAAATTATTGCGATGTTTTTATTGTTGCGTAAAATGCGACAGGGTTATAATCGCAATAATTCAAACTCATTTTGAAATTTGTTTTATGAATTAAACAGAATTTTCTCAATATTGCAAAAATTAAAATCGCATTTTAGTCTAAAATGACAAAATCGCAATAATAAATGCACGCAACAAGTATATAATTTCGTAATTAAGAATTGTTAATGTTATATTATACTGAAAGATATGTTTGACTCTAACTTTATTTATTCACATTTAAGGACATTATGCGACTGTTTACAATTATGAGAGATTCTAATTTACTCTGCAACATTTCTCATATAACCATTCCAAACTTTCACATTAAGTAATTTTTTAAAGAGTGTACATTTAACAATGCTAATGCATTAGGAATTGCCTCAGATCTAGACAAAAAACTTAATTTTAACATGAGTAAGTTATACCGTTTGTCATGTTTAAACACTAAGAATAAGACCTATGGTTGTTTTGTTTTTGGAGAAGAGTAACCATGGCCACAAACTGCATCTATTTGATGCAAAATATTGCATAAAGGTGAGAAATGTCACAAGTGTCTCCAAAATTTGATCTTAGGTAAAATTTCAAACAATCTGACTGCTTACTTTTTTTTCTATTAAGAGATTGAATAGAAATCATATGTAATTTACCTCATCTTTCTGGAATGTTGCACCGAAAAGTTCGAGCGGAAAAAATGTTTAACAAACATTTCAATTATGGCCAGTATGGATATATAAACACGGACTGTCAAACCAAATTACCATAAAACATTCAAAAACAAACTTTGTGTTCATATAAAACCCACTTTAAATTTAAAAATAAGAAGATTTGGTTTGATTTCCAATGAGACAGACAACTCTCCACAGTGACCAAATGACACAGAAATTAACAACAATAGGTCACCGTACGGCCATCAACAATGAGCAAAGCCCATACCGCATAGTCAGCTATAAAAGGTCCCAAAATGACAAATGTAAAACAAATCAAACGAGAACCGTGGTGTAACAGTACAACATAAGAACAAACTATAAAAATCAGTTAAAAAAGGCTTAACTCATCAGTTGGATACAAATAGAAATATATCAAACAAAAACACAGAGTGGACGTGGACGGGTACATCCACACAACAGAAGGACACATTAGTACATATCTGAGAGTACTCGCAGTTAATGACAGCTAGTTCAAAATAAAAAAAACAACTAATGAAAAAATCTAAAGGCCAAAATATTAAACCACACTTCTTACTGTGTATTGCTACCTTAAAATATAAAACATTTTTTTCCCAATTTCCACTTCAAATGTAATTATTTGTTTTGTCAGCAATAAAAAGTAAAATGGCCATGGATTTATGAAAATTGGTAATAGGTATTTTATGAAGGTTAGCAGTTGACATTTAAAAAGTAAAATCACAAAAATACTGAACTCCGAGGAAAATTCAAAAAGGAAAGTCCCCAATTAAATGGCGAAATCAAAAGTTCAAACACACCTGGTTTTAAAGCTAGCTAAACCTTAAATGTGACAAAAAGTTATTTGAAGAAACATTTCTGCCTGAATTTTTGGTTAAAATTTCTATAAATTTTCCTCGTGTTCATGTTTAGAATCTTAAAATCACCTTTACAGTAGAAAAATTGTACAAAAGTGAGTTGTTTAAATATAAAAGCACTTAAAATTTAAAAAAAAAGTGAATTATTTTCTAACAGCAGTGACAATTTCAGATTTTATTCATACCAAAATTGACTTTAAATTGATTTATTCGCATGAAAAAATATAAAATATATCCTTTTGATATTGATACGTAAAGCGTCATCCTTGGGTTACAAGGGGTAGCCAATAGAGTATAAATTTAAAACCGACCAAGGTCTTTTTTTCAAAACTTCAATATTTTGTTGCTAATGACAATAAACAACGAAGTAAACATATAATGCCACCATAAAAGATCCTAAACATGAATATATGTGTGGTAGATTTGTCTTAAAAATGAAATAATGTACCAATACACAGGAAAAATAAAAACTGACACTCATAACTTTTAACCACCCTCTTTCAAGCTTACTTTTAGTGTGATAACAAAAAAAAACAATAGCTAACTAAACACTACTGAGGAAACTAAAGATTGAACAACATGAATCCCATCAAACTTGGCTGCTCTTAAAGGGTAAGCAGTTCCAGCTCTACAAGGGGCAATCGTCATGTTACTGATCAATAGAAGTATATATTCATAAGTCGTCTGATCTTGTGCAACCCAGTGTGAGAAATTAAACATTGTACAGTAAGATTACTGCATGTACTCTGTACACATCTCTTCGTGTCTGATCAAAAGTTTAGATGATATGTCATTTCAAAAAACGTTCAAAGAACTAATGATTTCAAAATTGTGGTAGAGAGAATATTCTTGCAAAATATCATCAATAAGCAATACAGTCTTATCACAATAATAAATGGCAGTTTAACGTGTTAAAGGTTATCGATGTTTGTATTTTTCAGGAGGATGGGGAATTTGGGAACCATTTGGTGATTGCTCGGCCACATGTGGAAAGGGAATCCAGTCATTTCAGAGGAAATGCAATAACCCTGTTCCGGAAACTAATGAAACATACTGTATTGGTGATCACATACAGCACTTAGAATGTGACGCAAGTCCATGTGAAGGTAAAAAAGATTTAAATAAGGATTGTAAAGTCACACATTTTATTGCTTAAGATTTATTGGCTTTTAAATTGTTTTCATGAGACGATTTATACATTTTTACAAACTTAAAAAAAAAAAAAAAGAAAAAAAAAACAGTCAGATGTGACACAACTTTTAATTAAGAGTTATTTCTTAACAAAATCACAAGGTTTCTTGGTGCAAAGATTAAAACATTGATGCATAGGAGATTGTCATATCCCATCATTATATTGAAATAGTGGAATAGGTGGGTGTTTTTTTTCGGATTACAGCTTAGCAGATACACTATCAGTTATCATTATTCGACGAACGAAGTAAATGGGAGTGTTATGTATGTTTGTTGTTGATGTTTATTTATGGATAAATATTTGATCTGTGATTGAAAATTTCAGGCATGGGATCTCATAAACAATAATATTCTCTGCACAGAATCTTTTTTTTAAAGGTAGTACTTTCTCTGAAGATGATATATGTTAAGTAGTAAGGATTATCACAGAAAAGATATTTTTGGATATTTTAAAAACATTTTCAAAGTTCAAATCTAATGAAACCGTTGAAGAGAGCTGATAAACAAAAAACGACAACTAAATACAAACTCGAACATTCCTTAATTAAACAATATTTCAAAATTTTATTACAGCAAATATCAATAAAACAATATTCATATTTTCATACCAGTATTGAAGTACTGGCTACTGATGAGGATTCTTTCGGGGACTAGTAATGTCCAAAAATATCAAAGTGTTTGATTTTGTAGCTTTTGCAATATTGCCAAAAAAAAATTAGGAATCTAAAAAAAAAAATAGAAATGAAAAGATGTATATTTTATGCTTATCAAATTTCTTCTTATGATTACGAGTTGTAAAGGTCATAGTGAAATTCAGGACAATTTCTCAAATATTATGACAGAACTGTAATTCAACAGTATATCTAATAATCAAAGTCTAAATAAGTTACCAATTTGATAAAACAATCAATATCCTTGCAAACCAATCAACAGTACATATGTACAAAAGAGAGGCGAAGGATACCAAAGGGACATTCAAACTCACAAAGACATGGATGAAAAAGAAAAAGACATACAGACAAACAATAGTACACAAAACAACATAGAAAACCAAAGACTGAGCAACACGAACCCCACCAAAAACTGGGGGTGATCTCAGATGCTCCGGAAGGGTAAGGAAATCTTGCTCCACATGTGGCACCCAACGTGTTGCTCATGTTAGTACAAACCTAGCGATATGTCTAATTCGGTAGGTCACAATCGGGGGAAGGGGACGATATTGTAGTTACGACAATTGGATCATATCCGTCGTCATCTGTGAAACAGATATTTCATAACGGTCAACCAACTCGTGATGGCGTCCGTAAAATTTACAAAGAGATGACTTCAACTTCACCACTTGGTTTAATAGCTTCCTTGTGAGCAGCAACCCTCTATCAAGGAAATCATGATAGAAAACACAAGCCCTGGAATATCGTATCAACTGGCATACATTCGGAAAGGAGAGACACGGTGAATCGACAAAATAATCGTTGCATGCATCAACCGTGTATGAGAATCAGCCAAAATGTAAAAATACAATGGCGACTATGCCAAATATATTTGATACTACATATTCAGATCATTGTCCTTATGTCAATAGCACTATTCTATTTGATAAGGGACTTTTCGTTTTGAATTTTCCTTGGAGTTCAGTATTTTTGTTATTTTACTTTTTTCCATGCACAAGTCGTGTACTACAAGAAATTTTAGACTTTTTCAAAAATTCTCTGAATATTATATCTATCGTATGTAATATATAAAGACTCTGGGCTGATATGCATAAAACCACTTAAGTTAAGATATCCAATCGTAGTACTAATTTATCGTAGGACATGTAGAAAAATCCGTCCGTACGGAACAAATTTTAACTTAAGTAGCATTATGCATATCAGCTCTGAACAACACTTTCATTTATCAATGTTAAACCTAAACCTGAAATACCTGTTAAATTTTGATAACAGATGCTCAATTTACCAGTAATTGAAAAAATCACCTCACGTTGATCTCAATAGAAAATCGACAGATCTTTTTAACGGATTATAATTCAACCTTTTCTGATTGGTATACATGTAGGTCGGTAAAACCAAAGAAAACCTAATTCACTTCTTTGTGGCAATAGATCAGACATTAACAACATTGCAAAGGACAATAGCCATTAACATGTAATTGAATCCTTTCTATGCGAGTTTGCATTCTCGAAAAATATACCACTAGTATAGACTAACAATCCGCAGCTTGCCACACCTCTCCGCAGACAAAAATAAGATTACTGGATTCGGGAAGTGGGAATAGCGACATCGTAGTATGGTTGAACCAATAAAATTGACGATATAGGTCGATATAGCTTGGAGCTTTGTAAATGTGGTGAATATTGTCAACCTTGCTCCTCGACGAGGACGCAGTTATGTTATTGTCATTGTACATCACCTACTCTTCATGATGTCTTTTTAAATGACCTATTGTCATCTATACAGAGGCGTTAGGTATTAATGTGATTGAAAAGATCTACTTGCTTTCAAGATCAGTTTGAACTATCATCTCTTATACCTATACAAAACAAATTGTGACTAGTGATTAAACTTTGCATTTACAAACATGTGTTGCTGATCTCAATACTGATGACTTCAGGTCTAAACTTCTTAGCTGTACCTGTGTTATTTTTTAAGTCAATTATTACTCGGCTGGCCGTTATTATTAGTGACCTTAATATTGTTATCAACATTTTTCTGCGAAATATAAACCAAAGAAGAGAAATACCGGGAGCCTATATTCCATCAATTGGAAAAACAACTTTAAGTACTTAAATTCAGTCAAGTATAGGACCCTGTAAATGCCTCATTGAGAAAACAAGACGTAGATACTTGTTCCGAATGAGTTAAGGCAGTGATGTTGTTAGAATTAGAAATAATGGCATATCTATCTTCAAAAACAAAAATGTTGCTAAGCACCTGTCCTACCTCATATATGTCGTAGATAAAACACTAAATAACATAGTTTGTGTGTGTACATCACATTATATACAGTGCTTGATAAAAAAATTTGTCAAAGGCTTAATAACAAAACTACCGAACTCCAAGGAAATTTAAAACGGAAAGTCCTTTATCAAATGGCAAAATTAAAAGCTCAAATACATCAAACGAATGGAAAACGACTGACATATTCCTGACTTGTAACAAGCATTTCCTTATGTAGAAAATGGTGGATTAAACCTGGTTTTATAGCTAAGAAACCTCTGATTTGTATGACAGTTATAGAGAATTCCATTATATTGACATCAATTTCTGAGCAAAACCAGCAGACATGATAGGTATAAATGTCAAAAATTGGGGTACAGCAGTCAATATTGTGTTATAATCTTACTCACAATAAAACAAATAACTATTTCAACAAAGAAAAACAAAATGGCATATAGATACTCTTTAGATCTTTAGAGAAAGTACATAAGCAAAAATGAAAGACAAGAACACAAAAATGACCATAACACAATGTTGGGAATTGACAATTCACTTGACTGTTCATCATGCACTCCCACAACACTGACTAAAGAGGAAACCTGAACCATCATTGTTCTCTTTTATGCTCCCTTGAAATTTCAACAAGAGAAGACGGACTGAATTTTCCTTTACCGTTTTTCGATTTCAATTTTCACAAGACTGTTCAAACAACGTTACATTGATGTGTCTGCAAAGTGCACAACGAAAATATTTTGCAAGTTTTTAACATCAATTTCATCAGTAATCAAAGCCAGACTTCAGGGTTATTGTGAAACTACCTTATTAAAAGGCGATGGGAATTGCATGTGGATACTAAATATTTTCCAAAGATTGGTTCAAATATTTTTAATTTATGTTTAGGAAGCTGGGGATGTTGGCAAGCAGTAGGACATTGTTCTCATTCTTGTGGAAATGGTACCAAATTGAAGGTTAGAGAATGCAATAATCCTGTTCTAACCAATGAAGGAACTTATTGTGAAGGCGAAAATACAACGTTGGAATGGTGTAATCTACGCGAATGCCCTGGTATGTAACAAACATTCAACATCATATAACATCTTTCATTGAGAAATAATTGCAGTTTAAATTTTATAAACTGCAATGAAATGCCAACTTCATGTCAAGTTTTCATAAATAAATGGCTGTTAACAATCACAATAAACACAGGAATATACCAAAGTTATTCGACCAAGCGCGACACCCATTGTTCTGACCTTCCTTTATACAGAAAATAACAAATGGAAAAAAGTTAAATCACAAAAATACTGAACTCCGAGGAAAATTCAAACGGAAAGCCCCTAATCAAATGGCAAAATCAAAAGCACAAACACATCAAACGAATGGACAACAACTGTCATATTCCTGACTTGGTACAGTCATTTTCTTATGTAGAAAATGGTGGATTGAACCTGGTTTTATAGCGCTAAACCTCTCACTTGTATAACAGTCGTATCAAATTCCATTATATTGACAACGATGCGTGAATAAAACAAACAGACATAAAAGGTAAAAATGTCAAAATAGGGGTACAGCAGTCAACACCGTGTCACAATCTTAATCACAACAAAAACAAATAAATATTTTACAAAGAAGCACAAAAAAGCTTATATCACATTTAACAACCTCGTTCATTGCTTACTTATTTTTGTATTATATTTATGTATGCCAAATGAACCCTAAAGTACACTTTATATGCTCCTTGATATATTAAAAAATAAAAAGGTGTTTAAAAAAGAAATGAACATTCACCCTGAGTACTTGCATCGATCATTTTTATATTCAAAACTTTCTTTTCTATATAGCTTTCTTTTTGGTTTCCATTTAGAGACAAAAACAAGCAGAAATCTAATGAATATTATCTGATAACGCCATTAGAGCTTTGATAAATTACGCATACACAAAGCAGTACTAGTATCATTTTGAAATTGAAACTAGAGAGCAAAAAATGAAAATATTCCAAAAAGTCTTTGAAATTACCAGAGACAGAATTTTCTTTTTCAATAATATCAAATATCCCGACCGTAGTCCATATGTTAACTTAGTTACAAAAGACAAAAAACAAAAAATATGTGTTGAAATTAATTGAATAAGCAATAAAATGATTAAAAAAGAACTATTCAAAGTAAAACAAAATTTTTGAAAAACAAAACATGAAAAAACAAGCAATAAAAAACAAACAGAAAACAAAATTCATCACTTAAGTACCGATAGATATATATGACGATATCTTAATTGAAATGTGGTTGACAGTCATTTTCTAAATGCTTACGTGAAGTCAGGTATGCCTTATTATGTTCAAGCGTGTATGAAATGACTGTTTTGTCTTGAAAACATACAAAGCAAAAATAGTTTATACATTACTTCGCTTCAGATTCTACTGTTTTTATATATTAAGGATACATTTTGATATAATAACATAAACAATTCCCAATAACAAAAAAATATAATTATATAGATCAAGTGAAATACATGTCTAATGATTCATAACAACAGAGTAGATGCATTCGAATAACGAAATAAAAAAGCTTCGCCCTACTACAAATGTTAAATCATGATGCGTCTTTCTGACTTGTATCTTTTTTATTTCTCATTTTTCATTTAGGATTAAGGCATATTAATTATTTTATTCGTGAAATGTGCTATATAAAGAAAGTTGGACACACCTTTCACTAACACCTCCTCCCTCCGAAATATTTACTTAAATCCCTTGACCACAGTCTCTGTTTGTGGATCTTTTTTAAGCATAACTTTATGAAAATACTTTTTTCGTTGCGGAGTTACAAAATTGGACTCCAACAGGAGAGATTTAAGAGTACAAGTCAAGTTCTTGCCTTTTACCTTTCGCATATGTTCGAAACCTCCGAATTTCGATATATGTTTCAAGCACCAATAGTGGTCAAATAATGAAAAATTTTCAAAATGTGCATATGTTACATCTAATTAATCGATATCATTGCTATTGAGCTATCCGTCAAATAACCAGGATTTTTTCTTATAATGACAAAATATCCAACTCATAAACTTATGTATTCGTGATAAAGTTAAGATAGCAATTTTTAAGACAAAATTATCCCTTGTTGGTTTTAGTAGTTTTGTTTAGGCCTTTTTTGGTTTATCTGCTATCCACAAATTTATACCTATTTTGGGAAATTTCCCTAACTTTTGGTAAAAGTAAAATTACAAAAAATCGGACTCCAAGGAAAATTCAAAACGTTAAGTCCTCAAACGGCAAAATCAATAGCTCAAAAACATCAAACGAATTTGACATTATATTAAATTTCGCATTGAATTACTACCTTCGTTTAAGTTTGCATTTTAAACAAAAACATAATTCAATATGTTTCCCTTCTTCTAGTTTACAAATGGGGGCACCTGAAGAATCTTAATCTGACTATAACGGAGCTGAAAGAAATAATGAAAGAAGAGATAAATGAACTTAAAACAAACTTGACTGTGGACAACAAAAACACATCATCCGCCATTAGACGAAGAATCTCAGCACGGGACGACAGACCTTCTGCTGCATCATTTGGGTATTTAGGTGCAGTATTGTTGGCAACACCAATTTTATTAATGATATGCTTGGACTTCAACCGTCTGTTTCCAGAATGTGTGAAGAGGAGAATTGCAAAAAAACTTAAAAGAGAAGAGTTCACCAATAATACAACGTAGCCGTTTTCATGTATGGCATGCAAGATTGATTGAGTTATCTGTAAACTGTAACGAGTTATCAATACTTGATAAACATTTGTAATAGTAGTATTGTGTAATATTTGTTATATTTTGCGCTTATAAACATTGTAATAAAACTAACTAAAATAACCCGACAGCATTCAACAGTTTATGGCAGTGTTTTGCACAAAGCTAATAATAAATCTTTGTGTACATTCAAAAATAAAAGTTTCCGAATGCCATTTTGTGCTGATTTGCAAGTTTAATTTCAAATAACATGCTCAAGTGGTGTATCCTATGAAAACTACCAAGACTGTAATCGCCAAACAAAATATTTTGGTATCCGAATCACCATAGACAGATTTCAAAGTGAGAAAAAACAATCAAGACAAAAATTGACAAAGATGTTTACCACCTTGAATCCCAAATACATAATCACTCACTAAATTCATCTTTTGATTTATCTTTTGACTGCTGTTTGTAGACAAATTGTTGAAATTTATTTTACTTTCTTTTTCTCTATACGTTAAAATCGCACCTTGCTAGATACTGTCGCCCCTGAGATCTACTTTTTAAATTATGATTGGTAAAACAATCATTTTTTCATTGTTAATACATATATAGATGTAGGACTCGGGAGGTACGTTGGAGACGCTGTAGTGCAATGGTCACGCTAAAGTGCGATAGTCTGCCGTTTTGTCTTCAACATGGACGTAGTGTTTAATGTGGTGTGCTGTCTAAGCCTTTTTACAAAGTAAACAATAACGTTTAAGTTATGATTACACATTTACTGTTTATTCATCATGACTATTTAAACAAACTTTCGGTGATTTTTTTTTAAAACCTTAAAGTGTGGTGGGAGATGGACAAAATTGACATGCGCACAACCCCTTACTTATCTAGATATTATAAAACAGTACACACTTCGCCTATCAACTGCATCCCGACTAACCAGAGCAAATGAAAAATAGCAAATAACTTGGGAAGCAGTATCAACTTGGGCTGGCTACTTTTTATAGAAAGCTATACTAGGTGACTAAAGATGTTGGTGTGAATATAGTCGCATAAGAAAAACACATGCTGCGACAAGGTTTCATAAAGTCTCAAGAATGACCACAAGGATAAGATATCAATTTTGAAACATATTCACTCATTCTCGTCCAATGGAAAATCGTTATTTTCCTTTCTTTTTTTCTTAGAACATACTTACCCCTTCTCGTCCAATGGAACATCAGTTTTTTCAACTCACTATAAAATGTTATTCATGCATTTTTTTTCATTGTAGAGCAAAAGAGTACTATTGTTTTCCTAATAATTAAAAATGAAAAAAGAATAAACGTTTATAATGTTACATTTATGGAATGAAACAAAAGAATAAAAAAAGGTGGCAATGGTGAAGGTAAAAAAACATTAAATCTGATTTTTATACCAGACCTTAGTAAATAAATCCTACTTTGTAAAATAACACTCTGATTCAAACAAAAAATTCTCTGAATCTGACATTATAAAGATGCTTGATTTCTTCATTGACAATATTTGTTACGTTTGGAGGATGTGTTTTTCAACAAACAATCGGCATTCCGTGGGAACACACTGTGTCCCTCTTCTTGTCGACTTTATTTGAACTTTGGTGGATAGTTGTCTCATTGGCAATCATACCTCATCTCTTTATTTATATATTGTTCCTTTATTCATATGAGGCTGACTTCATACAGGAACTTCTTAGGAAGAAAGAAAAGAAGTAAGCAATATGCTTTAACTTTGCTTTCTGCTATATAAATGATGTTCTCTCACTAAATAATTCAAAATGTGGTGACTATGTTGAACGCATCTATCCCATCGAACTTGAGATTGAGGATACAACAGATACAGTTAAGTCTGCCTCATATCTTGACTTACATCAAGCAATTGACAATGAGGGTCGGTTGAAAACAAAACTTTATGACAAAAGAGATGGTTTCAGCTTCCCAATTGTGAACTTTCATTTCTATGTAGCAACATTCCAGCAGCGCCTACATACGGAGTATATATCTCCCAGTTGATACGAAATTCCATGGCTTGTTTTTCTGCTCACAATGAAGCTATTAAACCAAGAGTTCTAAGTCGTGAAGTTGAAACCATCCCATCATAAATTTTACGGACGCCATCACAAGTTGGTTGATCGGTATGGAATATCCGTATCAGATGATAGCGGATATGTTCCAAATGTCGTAACTACAATCCCGTATCACCTAATAGAGATTTCCAATAAAATGACATTACTGTACATAACCAACGTATCTGAACGTATCTCGGCCTATTGCCTTGGAACATGACTGAGGGGAGCATAGACTACATGCTTTTTTTTTGCTCGTTGAATACACATATTATGTTGGAATAGATGTTATTCAAAAATTAACCTAATCTTAACATATTTTGTTATCAAATTCTGGAAGATTTTATTGACAACGAACTTTTAGGGAATAAATTAACAAGTTACCGGAATCAAATGCACCGATCATTACTTGATCATTTCACTTGACCCATATATTTATTTCTCAAATGAGGAATTTTCAAAACCACTAAAATAAAAATTAAGTTTGAAATAATAAAAATAATGAAATCTGAAGCCAGATGATATTCTCATTTTTGATTTATGAGTTATGATCTTAAAAAAAGAGTTTCAAACACACCGGAATGTAAACGGTGTTTACGACTAGCTTCTTCTTTATGTTTTAGCATAATTCTATAATTTATTTCAAGATACTTTTGTCCTACTCAAAAATGCAGATAACAGATGCGTCTATCTGATAGCACTTTGTCATCTTTCCGTAGATTTTGATAAAATGGAATATGAAATTATTGGAATGCATCTTCAAGAAAAAAATGATTACACTTTACTAAATCAGTCTTCTCTTTTTTAACGATGCATGGATATAATCTAAAGGAAACTCCACATAAATTAACCTGTATGGACTTTTTATTGTAGTTTTGTTGAGAAGGATTCTTTTATTTTTATTACCAACCTATATGGAGCAGGATCTACTTACCCTTCCGGAGCGTCTGAGATCATCCACAGTTTTTGGTGGGGTTCGTGTTGCTCAGTCTTTGGTTTTCTATGTTGTGTTTTGTGTTTTGTGTACTGTTGTTCGTCTGTTTGTCTTTTATTTGTTTTTAGCCATGGCATTGTCAGTTTATTTTCGACATATGGGTTTGAATGTCCCTTTGGTATCATTTGCCTCTCTTTTATGATAGCAAGGGGTTATATTTTCTTGTCTGTTTGTCCGTCCGTTCATCCGTCCCGTTCCAATTTAAAAACTTTTAAAATTATATATCAAATAAAGGCCACAGTAGTATACCGCTATTCGAAATTCATAAATCGATTGAGAAAAATACAAATCCGGTTTACAAACTAAAACTGAGGGAAACACATCAAATATAAGAGGAGAACAACGAAACAACAGAAGCACAACACTAAAATGCAACACACACAGAAACGAACTATAATATAACAATGACCATTTTCCTGACTTGGTACAGGACATATTAAGAAAAAATGGTGGGTTGAGCATGGTTTTGTGGCTAGCCAAACCTGCAATCATAACAGTTTTACCTAAATTAAGTGGTTTTCTGAACATGGAAATGTGATAATGTCAGGGGACACACATGTACATGTATGTGTATCTTCAATATTCATAACCGCCTCTGTGGTTCTGTAGAAGCTTGCTTGCCTCTGGCGCGGGAGGTCCTGGGTTCGATACTCGGCTGGTTCAAATCAAAGAATGGCTGCCTCTATGCTAAGCATGCGATATATGGTATAGGAGTAAGAGCAAAATTTATGGTCCGGAGTCAGAATTATGTGTCCGGGTAGAATGTCATGTCATCCTGTGGACATTGTGAACTATCATATTAAAAAAGTTGGACCAGATTGTAGGTCTAGTACAAAGGCGGGTTCATATTCATTTTCTCGTCCTGAATATGCATATTTAAACTACATATGCAATGAACACTTATTGTCCAACATCCTGTTGATACTTATATTTTAACATTTCGCCAAGTCGTGATCTTCTACACTGTATTGGGAATAAAAACACCGAAAAGGAAAATATTAGCGTGTGTTTGGACTGCATTGCGCATCGAAATCATATCATCTAATTTTTATTTCTATGTTTCTGACTTTTGACACATGCACTACAATGATTTATGCAGCAAAAAAAAAAAATGAAAAAAAAAAAATCGGTGACCCTCTATAATTGTTCATCAATAAATTGCTAAAATACTATGAGTGAAGGCACTTCAAGGGATATAAAATATTTTGCAAGGAAACGTCTTTTGTATTTGAACTCTGAAAGCATTTTAAACTGTCGTTCCCGTTTAACAAGACAACACAGAACATTCTTTAATCGAGCACACCTTCTAATTTATATAAAATACAACCTCTATAGGGAATGTTTTATTTATTAATTTTAAAATAAATTGAAAATACTTTAACTTAGAAATAAATTGGAAGCGATAGTTTTATCTCAATTTTCAACTTTAATCAATCATCGACAAATCAAGACAAACAATGATTTCGACATTTCTGAACTTGTCAGCAAAACATCCCTCTAAAACTTATTTTCCACACAAAATATAAATATATTGATAAAGAAGATAGAACATGGGATAACGAAAAAAAAAATGCATTTTAAAAATATAGAATAATTGAGCGTTCGTCTGCAATATGTATTGAAAAATAAATCTCATTATCAAAACCATAAAAGATAACTCAAATCGATCGTGTAATTTGGTAAAGAATACGTATAAATACGTGAAAATTCAGGCAGGAATCTGGAGAACCGCGTATATAAAAAAATACCTGATTTCTTTCATTTTATATCCCGTACAATTATTTGATGTGGACGAAAATTCCAGTGTTTGGTTTTAATAGGCTTGGAATACTTGGTTTAAAGTTGAACCTAGTATTTAACCAAATTCAATGGCAGGCAATAACCAGTCCCTTTAGGTTCGTGCGTCGAGTTACGTACGTATGTCACTTTATTGGAAATTTCTATTGTGACCTATCGAATTAGACTTATTACCGGGTTTTGTACTAACATGAGCAACACGACGGGGGCCCCATGTGCAGCAGGATCTGCTTACCCTTCCGGAGCACCTGAGATCACCCCAAG